TTCGCCCATTTGTGAAAGATGAATACAAAGATATTACTTGTCCAAGACCATTCTATACTGGCAACAAATAAAATATTTAGAACAAAAACACCTTTATTACTTTATCACACCTGTTAATTTGTCCTTTACTCTCATTAAGTTTAATAAGTTTAATCTTTTGACAAATATTGTTAGCTTTTTCCACTTTTAAAGCAAAAAAGTACTAAAATGATTTATATACTCTTATAAATTAAGGATATAAGTATATTAAATAAATAAAAATCATGAAAAACACAATAAATGAACAACAACAAGAAAATAAAGAACCATTAAATAAAATTGCTGATTTAGAAAAGCAGTTAGCTGATAAAGATAAAGCAATCAAAGAAAATGAGATCATGGGTAAAATCCTTGCTGATATAGTGCTTCATAATGATAAATTTTCTGACGAAAGAATAACAGAATTGCTTAATCAAGAAGAATGAAAAGAAAGAATAGGTTTTTCAGTTAAAGAGAATGGCTACATAGGTTGAAAGAATATTCATTGATGAGTAATCAAACCCCAAGAAGTTTTTAGAAAGAAAAGAGCATTAGCATTAGAATGTGAGGAACTAAGTAAACAAAATCAAGAATATAAAGAGAAAATTAAGGTTTTAGAAACAGAGCAAGCAAATTTGGAAACAGAAGTAGAAAAATTAGAAGAGAGAGTAGAAATAGAACAGGAACAAGTTAAGAAAGTTGTAGAAGTTGGTGAACAATGAAGTAAAGCTCAAGCAGAAGATATGATAGAAAAAAATAAGAAACTCAAAAGCAATAGTGAAAAGATTTCTTATTTAGAAGCCCGAGTTGAAAAGTTAGAGGAAGAGTCAAGCCAAAAGAGCAAAAGAATAGAAAAACTAAGTAAGCAATTATCTGATAGTGAGTCACAAAATGAAAGTTTAAAGAGTTTGAACTATTTAAACAGCAAACCCTTACCTGCTCTACCTGTTGAAGAAGAAAATAAATCATTCTTGTCTAAAGAGAGCATGTTTAAGCAGTTAAAAATAAAAGCAAAAGTTAAGATTCAAAAATTGCAAAGTCTAGTCAAAAAGGAAAAGTTTCACAACCAAGAAATGACTGCTCAAGTAGAAATAAAGTCTAAATAACAAGTAGATTACAATGAGAGAACTGGAATACACAATTTTAGAATTAGAGAAAGAAAGTAAGCAAACTTGTGATTTTTGTTCTAAACTAGAAAACAGAAATAATGCATCTGTTCATCAAATAAGGACTCGCACTAAAATAATCAGGGAATGAATTGCAGATGACATGGTTTGTGAAAGTTGTGAAGAAAAGTATTGAAATGATGAATTGCTAAAGTGTGATAGGTGTGGCAGATTACAAACTAAGTTAGATTTTGATATTGTTACTGGCAAGAATGTTTGCTACTGTATTAGAAACAATGAAGATTTGGAGGAGAAAGAACTCCCTCTTTTACCTCATGAAGAAATAAGTCAGTCTGCTTTTTACGAAAGGCAAATAAACTCTTTACAAGAACAACTAAATGAAGCCGAATGAACCATTGCTATAGAAAGGGAGGAAGTAGCCAAGTTTCAAGAAAAGTCCAAAGAATGGGGTAAGAGACAGAAACAGGAACTTTTGGATGAGATAAACAGACTAAAAGCCGAATTAGAAAGGCTGAAAAAGTTAACTCCACAAGAACTGGTTGATAAAGTAACTGCTTATGAAAAAGAAATCAATGAATTAAAAACTCAATTAACTCAATTACAACAACAGAATGGTCAACTAGTGGCTCAAATTGAAGTCAAAGAGACTAAAAGATGATCTTGATTGAAAATAAAAAAGTAGTTTAAAGAATATTCTGTATAAATTGAAATTCACTTTAACTATCAAATTATTTTCCTTTTAAAGATTTTTGCTTTTTATTAGGTAATAATGCATCATCATGATGTTTTCTTTTTCCAACATTTATTATTTTTCTTTCCTCTTGGTAAATTTCATAGGTAATCCTTTCTTTTCTTAGGTAAGCTTCCAGTGTTTGAGTGTCATTTATTTTGAAAATGTAAGGAGCAATTTTTTCACCTTGTTCCTTTTTTAAAATACTTCTAATGGTGCTGTAATTCTTTGGTTCCATGGTAGACCTAATATAAATTAGCTTCATATTACTATTTTTATCTAGACAAATATCATTGATCACGTTACATTGATAATACATATTGTGATGTTAAAAACAATATTGATCCCTGAAATTTTTGGTAATACCAATGTTCACTTTGTCTGGCTTTGTTGCAGCATGCCCCATATACAATCATATATATAATGTACATAACAAAATCAACAGTAATAATTTGTAAATTATAGATTTATAGATTTGTATATATTATTAATTTTCTATCAAATAGACTAATAAAGATTTTATTAAGTTATCTCATTTTACATAAAAAAAACAGTAATTAATTCAGTTAATGCTAAATAATCTATACGTAATAATTGTAAGTGAAAATAAAAATATGCTTCAAGAAAAGACCAAACGTTAAATTAGTTCCAACTGGCCATTTCTTATAAACATCATACAGGGAGATGACGATTAGACAAATTTAATATTGAAAATATATTAAACAACTCTCTTCACTTCAAAAAACCTTTTCAGGTAAAAAACTTGCCAGAAACAAACCGCAAATAAAACAAGAAATTGAAAAATAGACCACCATTTCACACGATCGTTTGTACTTTCTGCAGCTAAAGATTTAAAAAAATTATTTAAAGGTCATTATTAATTACAATCAACAATGAAAATGATAATGACAATGAGACATGAAAGAATGGATTAACTCTATAATAACTTACTGTCTCGATGTGTTCTTTCTCGCATAACAATATATTCTTGTTCATCTTTAATGGCCTCCAAACCATCAGCTAATTCACGAATTTCTTTTTCTAACGGATCGGTATGAATTGCTAATTTACCGGTTAATTACCACTGTTAGTTAAAGTTATAAATGAAAATTTATTTTTCATCATCGTATTCATTCAACTTACATCCATCATCATCAGGCATATAAAGAACTCCATGTATATTGAAACTGACAACTTTCTCAGTGACAGTTGACATCACATTACTAAAACAATAAGTGTAACGTCCATCAAGCTTGGCTGTAAAACTAAAAGTTCCAGTTGATTGTTTAGTTGATGACTCCATTTCATTATCGGCTGGATCCATTACCTAAAATTTACAGGTACGTTTTATTTAATCATTGGATCCATAAAAATCAAATAAATTCCTAATTTTAAAAAAAAAACTTTATGAAAACGACATGGTCAGTCGAGAATTACCAAGAAATCGATATCCATATTTCCACCATCACCCACTTGATAAGTTATGGTCATTTTGTCATCATGATGTAAATCTTCAAAAAAACATTCTTTGTCATTAGGAGCTATTGTTACAGTGTATGCTAAACAATGATTTATTGTGAATAATATAGAAAATGCAATTAATAAGAAATAAGCCCTCATCTTATTTTTATGTGATTAATTTAAAGTTTTTTTTTATTTTTATTCGTAAAAAAATTTTTATATTTGTGATGATCAATCAGAAAAAAATTTTCTTTCTAAAAAAAAATGAAGGTGTTAACACAATCTAAAAGAAACAACTTTGGGAAAAAAAATTCTCCGAAAAATTCATCGAAAAATAAACCGTCGCCATCGCCAAAGATTAATAAAAATTCAAATACTATTAAAAATGTTAAAAATAAACCATCAACTGTTATAAAAAAAAAAATAAAATCAAATACAAATGTTATAAAAAATATTTCAATAAAAAAAATTGAAGAAAATCAAATAAATGATAGTGATGATGATGATGATGATGATGATGATAAAGATTTTCATGGATTTAAAATACATCGAGATGAAGATCAAGAATTAGATGAATATCCCGAAGAATATAGTAGTAGTAATTACAGTGATGATGATGAACATTATGAACTTGAAATTGAAAAAGATAGTGATTATGATGAAGATAGTGAAGAAAATAAAGACAACAAGGGGGATATTGAAGAAGATGAAAGTGTAATAATTGATATACCACCGTCCAAAAAATTTAAATCAGGTTATTATTATTATCATTATTATTGTAAGAAAAATTAATTGCACTTCTAATATATTCATCACCGATACCTTCATGAGAATATCTTTACCAGAATATTCGTCCATTTGTGAAAGATGAATACAAAGATATTACTTGTCCAAGACCATTCTATACTGGCAACAAATAAAATATTTAGAACAAAAACACCTTTATTACTTTATCACACTTGTTAATTTGTCCTTTGTTCTCATTAAGTTTAATCTTTTTTCCACTTTTAAAGTAAAAAAGTACTAAAATAATTTATATACTCTTATAAATTAAGGATATAAGTATATTAAATAAATAAAAATCATGAAAAACACAATAAATGAACAACAACAAGAAAATAAAGAACCATTAAATAAAATTGCTGATTTAGAAAAGCAGTTAGCTGATAAAGATAAAGCAATCAAAGAAAATGAGATCATGGGTAAAATCCTTGCTGATATAGTGCTTCATAATGATAAATTTTCTGACGAAAGAATAACAGAATTGCTTAATCAAGAAGAATGAAAAGAAAGAATAGGTTTTTCAGTTAAAGAGAATGGCTACATAGGTTGAAAGAATATTCATTGATGAGTAATCAAACCCCAAGAAGTTTTTAGAAAGAAAAGAGCATTAGCATTAGAATGTGAGGAACTAAGTAAACAAAATCAAGAATATAAAGAGAAAATTAAGGTTTTAGAAACAGAGCAAGCAAATTTGGAAACAGAAGTAGAAAAATTAGAAGAGAGAGTAGAAATAGAACAGGAACAAGTTAAGAAAGTTGTAGAAGTTGGTGAACAATGAAGTAAAGCTCAAGCAGAAGATATGATAGAAAAAAATAAGAAACTCAAAAGCAATAGTGAAAAGATTTCTTATTTAGAAGCCCGAGTTGAAAAGTTAGAGGAAGAGTCAAGCCAAAAGAGCAAAAGAATAGAAAAACTAAGTAAGCAATTATCTGATAGTGAGTCACAAAATGAAAGTTTAAAGAGTTTGAACTATTTAAACAGCAAACCCTTACCTGCTCTACCTGTTGAAGAAGAAAATAAATCATTCTTGACTAAAGAGAGCATGTTTAAGCAGTTAAAAATAAAAGCAAAAGTTAAGATTCAAAAATTGCAAAGTCTAGTCAAAAAGGAAAAGTTTCACAACCAAGAAATGACTGCTCAAGTAGAAGTAAAGTCTAAATAACAAGTAGATTACAATGAGAGAACTGGAATACACAATTTTAGAATTAGAGAAAGAAAGTAAGCAAACTTGTGATTTTTGTTCTAAACTAGAAAACAGAAATAATGCATCTGTTCATCAAATAAGGACTCACACTAAAATAATCAGGGAATGAATTGCAGATGACATGGTTTGTGAAAGTTGTGAAGAAAAGTATTGAAATGATGAACTGCTAAAGTGTGATAGGTGTGGCAGATTACAAACTAAGTTAGATTTTGATATTGTTACTGGCAAGAATGTTTGCTACTGTATTAGAAACAATGAAGATTTGGAGGAGAAAGAACTCCCTCTTTTACCTCATGAAGAAATAAGTCAGTCTGCTTTTTACAAAAGGCAAATAAACTCTTTACAAGAACAACTAAATGAAGCCGAATGAACCATTGCTATAGAAAGGGAGGAAGTAGCCAAGTTTCAAGAAAAGTCCAAAGAATGGGGTAAGAGACAGAAACAGGAACTTTTGGATGAGATAAACAGACTAAAAGCCGAATTAGAAAGGCTGAAAAAGTTAACTCCACAAGAACTGGTTGATAAAGTAACTGCTTATGAAAAAGAAATCAATGAATTAAAAACTCAATTAACTCAATTACAACAACAGAATGGTCAACTAGTGGCTCAAATTGAAGTCAAAGAGACTAAAAGATGATCTTGATTGAAAATAAAAAAGTAGTTAAAGAATATTCTGTATAAATTGAAATTCACTTTAACTATCAAATTATTTTCCTTTTAAAGATTTTTGCTTTTTATTAGGTAATAATGCATCATCATAGACAAATATCATTGATCACGTTACATTGATAATACATATTGTGATGTTAAAAACAATATTGATCCCTGAAATTTTTGGTAATACCAATGTTCACTTTGTCTGGCTTTGTTGCAGCATGCCCCATATACAATCATATATATAATGTACATAACAAAATCAACAGTAATAATTTGTAAATTATAGATTTATAGATTTGTATATATTATTAATTTTCTATCAAATAGACTAATAAAGATTTTATTAAGTTATCTCATTTTACATAAAAAAAACAGTAATTAATTCAGTTAATGCTAAATAATCTATACGTAATAATTGTAAGTGAAAATAAAAATATGCTTCAAGAAAAGACCAAACGTTAAATTAGTTCCAACTGGCCATTTCTTATAAACATCATACAGGGAGATGACGATTAGACAAATTTAATATTGAAAATATATTAAACAACTCTCTTCACTTCAAAAAACCTTTTCAGGTAAAAAACTTGCCAGAAACAAACCGCAAATAAAACAAGAAATTGAAAAATAGACCACCATTTCACACGATCGTTTGTACTTTCTGCAGCTAAAGATTTAAAAAAATTATTTAAAGGTCATTATTAATTACAATCAACAATGAAAATGATAATGACAATGAGACATGAAAGAATGGATTAACTCTATAATAACTTACTGTCTCGATGTGTTCTTTCTCGCATAACAATATATTCTTGTTCATCTTTAATGGCCTCCAAACCATCAGCTAATTCACGAATTTCTTTTTCTAACGGATCGGTATGAATTGCTAATTTACCGGTTAATTACCACTGTTAGTTAAAGTTATAAATGAAAATTTATTTTTCATCATCGTATTCATTCAACTTACATCCATCATCATCAGGCATATAAAGAACTCCATGTATATTGAAACTGACAACTTTCTCAGTGACAGTTGACATCACATTACTAAAACAATAAGTGTAACGTCCATCAAGCTTGGCTGTAAAACTAAAAGTTCCAGTTGATTGTTTAGTTGATGACTCCATTTCATTATCGGCTGGATCCATTACCTAAAATTTACAGGTACGTTTTATTTAATCATTGGATCCATAAAAATCAAATAAATTCCTAATTTTAAAAAAAAAACTTTATGAAAACGACATGGTCAGTCGAGAATTACCAAGAAATCGATATCCATATTTCCACCATCACCCACTTGATAAGTTATGGTCATTTTGTCATCATGATGTAAATCTTCAAAAAAACATTCTTTGTCATTAGGAGCTATTGTTACAGTGTATGCTAAACAATGATTTATTGTGAATAATATAGAAAATGCAATTAATAAGAAATAAGCCCTCATCTTATTTTTATGTGATTAATTTAAAGTTTTTTTTTATTTTTATTCGTAAAAAAATTTTTATATTTGTGATGATCAATCAGAAAAAAATTTTCTTTCTAAAAAAAAATGAAGGTGTTAACACAATCTAAAAGAAACAACTTTGGGAAAAAAAATTCTCCGAAAAATTCATCGAAAAATAAACCGTCGCCATCGCCAAAGATTAATAAAAATTCAAATACTATTAAAAATGTTAAAAATAAACCATCAACTGTTATAAAAAAAAAAATAAAATCAAATACAAATGTTATAAAAAATATTTCAATAAAAAAAATTGAAGAAAATCAAATAAATGATAGTGATGATGATGATGATGATGATGATGATAAAGATTTTCATGGATTTAAAATACATCGAGATGAAGATCAAGAATTAGATGAATATCCCGAAGAATATAGTAGTAGTAATTACAGTGATGATGATGAACATTATGAACTTGAAATTGAAAAAGATAGTGATTATGATGAAGATAGTGAAGAAAATAAAGACAACAAGGGGGATATTGAAGAAGATGAAAGTGTAATAATTGATATACCACCGTCCAAAAAATTTAAATCAGGTTATTATTATTATCATTATTATTGTAAGAAAAATTAATTGCACTTCTAATATATTCATCACCGATACCTTCATGCCAATATTGTATAACAATAGTTCAGAAAAATGATAAATTATCATCAAAGAATCCTGAATTTACTCCCACTACTGTTACTGCTGCCAAATCTAGTATTAAACTTGCTGCCAAATCTGCCAAATCTAATGCTAAAACTACCAATGCTAATTTTAATGCTACTCGTAGGAAAGGTTCAAAATTTGATGATGTTTTTAGAATGGAATTGCTTAAGAATTGGAATCTTGCTAGAAATATCAAACTTGGACCGGGAGAAAAGAAAAAACATCTGGATCAATTATTTGAATTAATCCAAGGCAAGATCCCTGAAATTTTATTTAAACATGATACTTCACGTATCATTCAAACATGTTTAAAATACGGTTCAAAAGAACAAAGAGCCGTGATTGCAAAAGAATTGGAGGGAAGATTTGTCGAAGCATCAAAGTATTTATATTCGAAATTTGTTATCCAAAAAATTTTAAAATATTGGTTAGTGAGGGGTTAAATTAATTTATTTCAAATTCATTATACATCCAATAAGTTAAATAATTTTTTTTTTTTTTAATTATAAGCCCTGAATTCAAAGATAAGATTGTTTTAGAATTTAAAGGGTCAGTGACAAAATTAATACAACATAGATTTGCACATGATGTTATATTAGAATTGTATGAATGTCTCAATGCCAAACAAAGAAATTCTTTGATACATGAATTTTATGGACCGGAATTTAATTTATTCAAGGTAAAAAAAATAATACAATATGATTATTATAAACCATTTTACTTTTTTGAAATAAAATATATATTTTGAAAATTTTATAGGAAGCAGAAAATAAATCGATGTCTGAACTTATAAATGAAGATCCTTCGAATAAAATAAAAATTCTCAAAAACCTTTCATCAACAATTGAAAAAATGTTAAAAAAACCTGGATTGATTGGTCATATTATTTCACATAGAATTTTATTGGATTATTTTACTTGCGCAGATGACACGAATGACAATCAAGTCCAAGAAAAAATCCAAATTATTGGTAAGCATATACCTGAAATTTTGCATACACAAAAAGGTTCGCGTGTAGCCATGTATTGTCTTGCTCATGGGACCGTTAAAGTAAGTGTTTTAATCAATGCTATGATAATTATAATTATTACACACAAGCATACTAATGTAATATATAATGATAATGATAATAGCAACGTAAAATTATGTTACAAGCAATGAAAGAGTATGTTGGAAAGATAGCTTGTGAAGAATATGGTTACTTGGTGTTATTAAGAGCTTTTGATGTAGTTGATGACACTATCATTGTGTCAAAATATGTCATTGAGGTGTATATAGTTATAATTTATTGTATTTTTAATTGATAATCAGGAGGTTACACTGTTATTAATATACTTATATCCTTAATTTATAAGAGTATATAAATTATTTTAGTACTTTTTTACTTTAAAAGTGGAAAAAAGATTAAACTTAATGAGAACAAAGGACAAATTAACAAGTGTGATAAAGTAATAAAGGTGTTTTTGTTCTAAATATTTTATTTGTTGCCAGTATAGAATGGTCTTGGACAAGTAA